GGGGAAATAGGTGAAGAAGTGAGGGTATTAAGAAGTATGACTAGGTAGTTACAGAATAGCCACAGGGATGTAAAGTACAGTATAGGAAATAGTGTAGCCAAAGAACCTACACATGACTCATGTACATGAAAAACTATGTGGGAATTGCCGGAGGGATTAGGGGTAGTGGGTAGAGGGGGCCAAAGGGATAAAATCGGGACAATTGTAATAGCATAATCAATAAAATATAATTAAAATAAATAAATTGAAAAATGTACAATGAGATACCACTCTACACACACTAGGACAGTTCTAATAAAAAATAAACAGGAAAGTTACAGATGTTGATGAAGATGAGGAGAAATTAGAATACTCATAAATTTTTAGTGAGGATGTAAAATGGTACAGCTCCTGTGGAAAATAGTTTGGCAGTCCCACAAAATATTAAGGATAGAACTACCATGTGATGCATCAAATGAAATCCTAGGTATATACTCAAGATATTTGAAAACATATTTTTATACAAAAATATGTTTACAAGTGTTCATAGTAGCATTATCCATGATAGCCAACAAAAGTGGAAAGGTCACAGACATCCATCAGTAGGTAAATGGATAAACAAAAAGTAACATATCTATATAGTAGACTATTATTCAGCCATAAAAATAGTAAACTACTAATACATTCTGAAACAAATGAACTAAAAAAACATTATGCTAAGTGAAAGAAGTTAGACACATAAGGACACGTTTTGTATGATTCCACTTTTATGAAATGTCCAGCATATGCAAATCCACACAGATATAAAGCTGATTAATGTTTGCTTGGTGATTAAAAAATGGGGGGATCTTTGTATTGTTGGTTATGTTCTGCTTATAGGTGAGATCATATGGTATTTATCTTTCGCCCCCCCGGCTTATTTTGCTTAGCATAATGCTCTCCAGTTCCATTCATGCTGTCGCGAAGTTTAGTAGTTCTTTTTTTTCCTTTCTGCGGAACCTAACCAACAATACAAAGATGCAAGGAAAATATAACCAGCAACACTGAAAGGAAAAGAAATCAACAGAGACAAGAGGGAAGGAGGGAGGGGTGGGCAGGGAAAGGGAAGGGAAGGGGAAAGTCAAGGAACATATAGCAAGAACTCATGGACAAAACAAAAGGGGAAGAGCTGAGGGAGGGAAGGAGGGAGGGGACAAGGGAAAGTGGTGGGGGGGAGGCAGAGACAAATGTATTTAAAAATAAAGAAAGAAAGAAAGAAATAAAAATAAAAAATAAATAAATAAAAGGAAAATTGAAAAATAAAAAAATAAAAATTTAAAAAATAATAAAATAAAAAAGATTTCTCTGCAAAAAAATAAAATAAATTAAAAAATAATAAAAAATGGGGGGAATTAGAAATGAGATTGACTGCTAATAGGTATTGATTTTGGGGAGGAGTGGTGATAGAAAAGCTCTAGAACTAGATCATAGTGATGGCTATAAACATTTAATATATTGACACCCACAGCATTGTACATGTTAAAATGGTAAATTTAATGTTATGTGAGCTATACCTCAACAATAAAATACATTTTACAAACTAACAAACAAAATAGAAGCAGACTCATAGAGAACAGTTGACATCTCTCAGATAAGAGGAATGTTCTGGGGCTGGGTGAAAAAGGTGAAGGGATTAAGCAAAAAACAAACAAACAAAAACCCTCATAGGTACAGAAAACAGTGTGGTAATTATGAGAGTGAAAGGGTGTGAGGGGAGGTAGAAGAGTGTATAAGAGTGATTAATAGTGATGGAAGGAGACCTGACTCAGGGTGGTGATTACATAATACAATACATAGATGATATGTATTATAGAATTGTTCATTTGAAATCTATATAATTTTATTAATCAATGTCACCCCAATAAATTAAATTTAAAAAGAAGCTACAGAGCCAATGTCTGGATTTTGGTCTTCTGAGCTCATGCATCAGAGGCCAGGGTAGAATCTTCCCTTACTACCCACTGAGGCAGGTGGCAGAAGGAAGGCAGTGTTAATTAGTTTAAGAGAAATGAAATTAAATCAAAACATGAAATGAAGTGACAAAATTCCTCTCCATTCAGAGGGAATATATCACCTGTAAACATGAAACTCTTTTCTTCTCTAGGGATAAGATTAAATGCTGCTTCTCTCCATTCAAGTGTCAGCTGGTCCCTTCCTAAGGAAAGGAATTCAATCATCTAGTTGTTTGGTCTCCAAGCCAGTTGACAGAAATTTTTTTTCTTTCCCCACTGAATGGGCTGTTTTGAAAGTTCTGTTGATGATGAATCATTTCACTGCCATCTGTGAAAAGCCTAAAAGCTGGCAGAGCCAATGAAATGTACTCTGGGGCACTCTCAATTGAATGTTCTGCCAAAGAAGCTGTAATAGCAGGAGGGATTTTCTTTTCCTTTTTTGTGAATATGGGAAGTGCAAGAATTTTTGAAAAGTATTTTTTGATGTCTCAAGAGGGGATGAAGATTCTCTCTTCCTGACTCATTTATATTTCTTTTTCTTTAAATCACTGCTTCTCATTTTACATCTCAGCCTCAACACCACTTCTTTTAGACAGCCACCCAGAATACCTACAACAGGCAGGGGTCCTGGAGTGGAAGCTTAATATTTTAGCCTGCCCCAAACAAGAGGACCCTGTATTTGTTTTCTATTTTTATATAACAAATGACTTTATACGTAGAAGCTCAACGCATTTTTATCACTTCTTAGTTTCTATGGGATAGCAGTTTGAACTGCATCTTCTTCTCAGGATATCATAAGGCTGCATGGAATCCCATGTGTCAGGTAGGCTATGTGCTAATCTGGAGCTCAGGGCTCTCTTCCAAGCTTATTTAGAATGCTGACAGAATTCAGAGAACCTTGTTTGCCTCATTATAGGCAGTTCACAACCTTCTGGTTGGTTTCTTCAAGGCTAGTAAGAGGGTATATCTGCTTTGAGACTCTGACCTTAGGGAAGGCCTAGGCTCTTTTTTAAAGGGCTCACTTTATTAGGTTAGGCCCACACAGTATGCTCTCCCTTTTGATTGACACATAGTCAACAGATTGGAGGCCTGACATCTGGAAAATCATTTCATCTTTGTCATATAATGTAACAATCACAGAAGTGATATAACATTATATTCACAGGCCCTTCCCACACTCAAGCAGAGGGGATTCTACAAGGTGTGTACACCAGACTGAGGAACTTGGGGACGATCTAGAAATTCAGTGTATTACAGATTCCTTGTTTTCACATTAAGGATCACATTTCTTCCTTCAGTTCATGAGTTTTGAGTGGGGATGACCCTAATCTCCACCATTCCATGATTTTTATAGAGTATCCAATAATGAGCTATTCTTTGTCAAATACAAGGTAGATTATGTCTGGCTGCCCTGTGGAGAGCCCTGGAGACCACCTGGTACAGGCAAAAGTACACTTATCTTTGTGTCAGAAAAATCTGGGTCAGCATTTCCTGCTTTAGCACTTACTTTCTGTGTGCTCTGAGGCAAGTTATAAAATCTCTTTGAGCCCCAGTTCCACATATGCAAAAGTGTTTTTGTGAAGAATAGAAATAATAATTGAGAAAGTAAATTGTTGAACAAAATCCCAGGCCTTCCTATTTTTACAATAAGACTAAAGAAAATTATAATAAATGTACACATCTTACTAGAGCTTTGTTATTACAAATTTTCTAGTGAAAATCTGGAACAGTGCCATGATGTCCTATGGTGGTCAACATGTTTATTGATAACCTTCATAAGATACAGAAGGCCCTTGGAAAAAAATATATCTGAATGCACAAAGCTATGAAGCAGAGGAACCTCATTTGCTCTGGAATGCCAGAACATCAAGGCCCCTACGCAATACAAGATGGCCATTCTCTCTCCTGACATTCTAAGTTAGCTGTTGCCTAGGTTTAGTTCCACTGGTCCAAAGTCTCTTGAACACTCCATTATTAGAGCTACATATCTCAATGTCAGTACTCTGTTATAGGAGCCTCCTACCTTTCCAAAGCGGCACATACATACTAGTCTGGCTCCAAGCCATATATAATGATTGTGCACTGCAGGCACACACACACACACACACACACACACACACACACACACACACACACACACTCTCTCTCTGTCTTACTTCAACAACAATGTAAAATAGATGCTACTTTCATTAATTTTATTAATAAGTTAACTGCTATTAACATAACCACACCAGATTCCTCCTCCCAAAGATGAGAGAGAGAGAGAGAGAGAGAGAGAGGGCATGAAGGAAAACCTCTTTCTCTTTTAATGTTTTTCTTAGTAAACAGCACCACCTGGTTACCTAATTGCACATTTCCAATACTTGGGATTCACTCTTGCCACCTACCTCATCCTTACTCTTATGTCCAATGCATTTCCAAGTCTTGTTGGCTCTACAACCAAAATACATATACCAAATCCACTCACCTCTCTCCAGCTCTACTGCTACCATTCTAGCCCAGGCACCATTATCTCTCATCCAAATAATTATAATAATCACCTAAATTAGTCTTTTGACTTTTCCCCTTGCAAGCTGCCTTATAGTTTAATTTCCATGTTACAGCAAAAAAAAAAAATACACACACACATATACATATATATATATGTGTGTGTGTGTATATATATATATATATATATATATATATATATATATGAACAGTTTAATCTTATCTACAGTTTAATTATATCATGCCTCTTCTGTGATTAACATTTTAAACTGTCTGCCTTGGCTGTTGTGGCTCAGTGGATTGAGCACCGGTCTGTGAACCAAAGGGTCTCCAGTTTGATTCCTAGTCAGAGCATATGCCTGGATTGTAGGCCGGGTCCCCCAGTGGGCGGGGGGCACATGAGAGGCAAGCACACATTGATGTTTCTCTCCCTCTCTTTCTCCTTCCCTTCCCCTCTCTCTAAAGATAAATAAATAAAATCTTTTAAAATTACAAAAAATAGAAGTCTCCTACCTCGAGGTAGTGCACAGGGAGTGTCGGAGCCGAGCCCAGATGGTCAGGATGATTACAGACGTGCAGCTCGCCATTTTCGCCAACATGCTGGGCGTGTCTCTCTTCCTGCTTGTCATTCTCTATCATTATTTGACCATCAAAAATCCCAAGAAGCAGGAATGAAAGTGGCGCTTTCTCCACCCCAGGGTTCCAGGAAATAGTTTGAGGCAAGATGGATTGTGTGAGGGGCCTTCACACTTCACTTCATCCCTTCTACCCTTCATAACATGTAAACCAGCTACACCTGGATTTTTCCAGAAAACTTATTTCTTCAAAGTCTTCCTTAACCCTATGGAACAAGAAGCTGCCACTGAGTAGGGCCCAGTGTAGGGGCTGCTTTCTTTTCTACTCCTTCCCCACAATATAAAAATACAGCTTTTTGTGGTCCCAAAAATATACAAAAAATAAAATCTTAAACTGTCTTACATCTAAATCCAAAATACTTGATGTGACCAGAGAGACTCAACGCAATCTGCCCCCTGCCTCAGTCTCCAGCCTCATCTTGTCCTGTTCTCTCCCATAATCACAAACTAAAGTTAACCAAAGCTAGCCACGTTAGCCTGTTTGTAAACATCTTAAGCTAATTTCCTCCTCAGAGCCTGTACCTTTTCTTTCCCCTAACCGGATCATTCTCCTCCTTCAACTTTGCACACAAAACTCTCTTCTTTATGTTAGCTCAAATGCCACATGCTCAGTAATAACTTTTCAAGTCACCCAAATTATATGAGTCATAACTCTCAGCACCTCACTATCAAGACAAGTTGTTCAAATTCTCCGTAACCACTTGCATTATTTGATTCTTTATAATTATTTGTTTTTACATTTTTAATCTCACTCCTGTAATCTCCCTCCTGGGAGCACTTTGACACCTTTCCCATGCCCCTTTTGTCTCCCACTGAGGCATGTTACCTTTACCCTTCTCTCTCCTAAGCTCCAGGGGCCCCATTTTTACCTCTGCAATTGGTTTCCTGAGCCCATTTTTTTCCTAAAGTCCACATATTCTACCTCTGTGACTTTATAAATAAAAAAAATGTCCCGAGAACTTCAAGGTGGTGGAACAGTAAATGGAAGTTACACTTATCACCTCCCAGGGCTAATCTGGAATTACAAATAAATTATAGAGAAATCACCTGGAACAAACAAAATAACAATAGCAAGGCAAAAGCCTTATAACCTCAGACAGACAAAGGAATCGGCGTTAGCAAAACCTAAGTGGTAAGGAGTGGGGGAGAGACATAAGGAGGTGGGTTGAGAACCCACAGGCAGCCATGCCAGAGGGATATTTAAACAGACAATTGAATCCCCCTAAGAAGAGTGTGGTCTGAACCATAGGTGGGGATTTCCAGCCTACACCACCAGAGCACAAAAAAGAAAACAGATAACAGCTAGCTGCAAAAAGCAGCAGGGTTTCTCTCTGATACCAACAGGTGTCTGAAGATGCAAAGAGCCATTTAAAGGGCCAACATATAAATTTTTATTTGCAGCCACTTACTCTAGGCTCTGGCAAAGGTGAAGGCAGAGTGGGCTAGAGATGTCTGAGGAGAGACTGAGGAAGGAGGTTTGGGGAAAGAACTGAGGGAATAGCCAGCAGGATCCTGGTGCTGACTCTTCTGCAATACCGCAGGAGACATCTTGCTCAGGAAGACCACTCCCCCTGAGTGGCAGCACCATGAGAAGATAAAATAGCCTCACTGCCAGGAAGCTCTGACCTGGCCTTGTGGCACTCAAGCCAGATTGCTGCATGCAGAGTAACTAGATTAACAAATGAAGGAGACAACCACAGACAGTAGATTCCTGGAAGTCTCAAAAAGACTGTCTAAGAGCAGGCCAGGTAAACAGCTCACATCATCAGAGGCAGACCCAGAAAGCAAAACCAGCTGTCTCCAACCATAGAAGTTCACACCACAAAGTCAAGAAGTCAAGACAGATCAATTTAAGGAGAAGCAAAAAAGAATACCCTCTCACAAAAAAAAAAAAAGGAAAAAAAGAAAACAAAAGAAACACCCCGCAGTCGAAGGGAAAGGAGGAATCCCCGCAAAGAGAACTAAATGAAATAGAGGCAAGTAAACGATGAGGTTCAAAACACTGGTTCTAAGGAAGCTCAATGAGATCACTGAGCTCAGAGAGAATTACAAAGAACTACAGTGAAACTATGAGGAACTCACTACAAATAGTATCAGCACGAAAAAAGACATAGAAACTACCAATAAGAGAAAAGAAGAAATGAAGAATTCAATTTCTGAATTGAGAACACAGTAAAAGTAATCAAAAGCAGACTAGATGAAGCTGAGGATCAAATCAGTGAGTTGGAGGATAAGGTAGAAAAAAGCTCCCAGAAAGAGCAAGAAAATGAAAAAGGGCTCAAAAAGAATGAAGATACATTTAGGGACATGCAGGACAACCTGAAACGTAATAATATCCATATAAGAGGGATACTGGAAGCAGAATAGAAGGAGCAAAGGAGAGTGAGAACCTGTTTGATAAAATAATGATGGAAAACTTCCCTAATTTGAGGAGAGAAAATGTCACACAAATTCAGGAAGCACACAGGGTACCATTCAAGAGGAACCAAATGAAGCCCACTCCAAGACACATCGTCATTAAAGTGGCAAATATCAAAGAAAAACAGAGAATCCTAAAGGCAGCAAGGGAAAAAGAGGTAGTAAAATATCAGGGAGCCCTGGTATGGTGAGCAGCTGACTTCTCAACAGAAACACTACAAGCCAGAAGGGAATGGAAAGAAATATTCCAAGTCATGAAAAGCAAAGGCCTACAACCAAGACTGCTCTACCCAGCAAGGCTCTTAAATACAAGGGAAGGGGAAATAAAAGAGTTTTGGAGACAAAGGAAGGCTAAAAGAATACACCTCCATAAAATCAGCACTACAAGATATACTAAAGGGACTATTCTAAGAGGATGAAGGAAAAGAAGGAGAAAGAGTGGGTCACAGGCACAAAGGGAAAAATGAATAAGTACCTATCAATAATAACTTTAAATGGAAATAGTTTAATGCTCCTATCAAAAGATATAGAGTAGCTTTATGGGTTGGAAAACATGAGGCACACATATGCTGCCTACAACAGACCCACCTCATAACAAAGGAAAAACAGAGACTGAACATGAAGGGATGGACAAAAATATTCTATGCAAATAGACAGGAAAAAAAGCCTGGGTAGCAATACTTATATCAGACAAAATAGATTTTGAAGTGAAGGCCATAAAAAGAGGCAGAAGGACACTGCGTAATACTCAACGGAAGAATGCATCAAGAAGACATATACATTGTAAACCTATATACACCAAACATAGCAGTACCCAAATATATAAGGAAAGTCTTGGGTGACTTCAAGAAAGATATAGACAACAACACACTGATAGTAGGGGATTTTGACACTCTAATGTCAACAATGGATAGATCTTCAAATAAAACATCAACAAAGATATTGCGGAACTGAATGACACACTAGATCACATGGAACTAACTGATATACATAGAACCTTTCATCCCAAAGAAGCAAAACACACTGTTTCCAAATGCACAACAAATATTTCAATGATTTTATTAGACCACAAAGGCTTGATACTAGAAACCAACCTCAAGGAAAAAAAAAAAAAACTCCAAAACCTTCAAACTCATGGAGACTGAATAGAATGGTATTATATAATGAATGGGTCTATAATGAGATCAAAGAAGAAATCAAAAAGTTTCTGGAAAAATATTAAAATGAACACACAGCAGTCCAAAACCTGTAGGACACAGAGAAGGCAGTCCTGAAAGGCAAATTCATAGCAATTCTGGTCTACCTAAAAAAGATAGAAACATTTCAAATAAATGATCTAACCCTAAAGCTTCAAGAACTGGAGGAACAACAACAAACAAAGCCCAGAGCAAGTAAAAGGAAGGAAATAATCAATATTAGAGCAGAATTGAATGACATAGAGAATAAAATAACAATTCAAAGATCAAAAATGCCAGGAGATGGTTCTTTGAAAATATAAACAAAATTGACAAGCCTTTCAGCAGACTCATCAAGAAAAAAACAAGGGAGAGGACCCAAATAAATAATATCAGAAATGAAAGAGGAGAAATAACAACTGATCCCACAGAACCAGAAAGAATTGTAAGAAATTACTATGAACAATTATATGTCAAGAAATTTGAAAACGTGGGTGAAATGGACAAATTTCTAGAAATATAGCCTACCAATACTGAATGAAGAAGCAGTGAAAAGCCTGAACAGACTGGTAACCGCTGGTGAAATTGAAGCAGTAATCAAAAAACTCATGTCACACAAAGTCCCTGGACCAGACCAGTTTCACAGGACAATTTTAGAAAACATTTAAGGAAGAGCTAACCCCTATCCTTCTAAGAATCTTCCAAAAAATCCAAGAAGAAGCAAGACTCCAAAAGTATTTTTATGAGGCTGGCATCATTGTAGCTCCTAAAGTAGATAAAGACACAACAAAGAAAGAAAACTACAGGCCAATGTCATTGATGAACACAGGTGCTAAAATCTTCAACAAAATATTGGCAAATCAGATCCAGCAATACATTAAAAAGATCAACCAACATGATCAAGTGGGATTCATCCCAGGGATGCAAGGATGGTTCAATATTCACAAATCAGTAAACATAATACATCACATAAACAAAAGGAAAGGCATAAACCACATGATTATCCCAATAGATGAAGAAAAAGCATTTGATAAGGAACAGCTTTCATTTATGATAAAAACACTGAGGAAAGTGGGAATGAAGGTCACATACCTCAAGATAATAAAGACCATATATGAAAAACCTACAACCAACATTATATGCAACATGCAAAATCTAAAAGCTTCCCCACTAAGATTGGGAATATGTCAAGGACGTCCGCTTTCACCACTTCTTTTCAACATCGTATTGGAAGTCCTAGCCACAGCGATCAGATAAGAAAAAGAAATAAAAGGCATCCGAATTGGAAAGGACGAAATAAAACTGTCAATGTTTGCAGATGACGTGATAGTGTACATAGAAAACCCTATAGACGCCACCAAAAAACTACTTGATCGAATAAGTGAATTTATCAAAACAGCAAGGTACAAAATCAGTATTTGGAAATTAAAGGCATTTTTGTACACCA